ACACACACACACACAGACAGCCTCTCGACAATATGCGTTTTTGCTGTGCAGCGCTATAGCAGCGCTGCTATAGTGCTGCACAGCAAAAACGCATAAAAATGAATTTTGGAGATACCTGCAACACAAATTCTTGGTTGTAGTAACATGTATCACTGAGAATCAAATTTTTGCCATTTAGGATAGATCGGTAGGAAAAAATGGTCCCTTTTAAAAGAGGCATTGGATTCCAGAAACTCCTTCTGATTGACAGGGCAAAGGAAAAAATCTCGACAGACCTGTTAGCATGCAATAGCGCTACCACTTAAACTCTGTTCCTTCCCTCTCCGATGCTCGGCAGCAGTCCCGAATTCCGTCAGGTAAATGCACAGGTGTAGCAGGTGTGCAGAGCTATGCTGGCCCCCGCTCAAACTGCTTTTAGTTTAGCTGAATCTGAATTAATTAAAATCAAAAAACTCATAAAGATTGGCGAGGACGAACAACGGGTCGCACTGGTCCAGTTCGCTGGAAGCACACATCAACGTGTAGAATGGACATTTGATACGTTCGACAATGCAAGGGACGTTGCCGAAGCACTTGCTCAAGTCCGGCATTTCACTGGTTCGCTTTTACAATTGAAAAATTATCCGGCATCTGCTTTTCTCTTGAAATTCCCGGGATGCGCAAACCATTTGTTCATTCAGGAACAACATATATCGGTCGAGCGCTGGAGAATTCGATCGGCATTTTGGAAACTCGCCGGCAAGGAGTACCAACAATTGTGATTCTTGTCAGTGATGGGTATGTTGCAAATACGCATCTGCACGGTGTTTGGCTCAGTTTCCAAAGAAAAAAGCTAGGCAGAGTTGAAATTTTCACTCCCTTTCTGGCTCTTTGATGTCATTTACACAGATTCAACGTTTCAGTGCAAAAACGGATGCGCTTTTGTAACTGTAGCCCACAGATAATTTCAGTGGCCCCTCGGCTGAGTCTTGGGCCTCTGAAATGCTTACGCTGCTAGGAGGAAGTGAAAGGAAATAAAGCGTGTAGATGCTAGGAAGTGTGAGCGTTAAGGCCGGACTATACGTGCCTGGAAACGGCTAGAAGAGCTGTGGTAGTTGCACTGTGTTCATGCGTCTTATTTTCAGATTCTCACAGGACGATGCGAGCAGACCTGCAGAAGAAATTCGCCAAATGTCAAATGTTGATTTCTATGCAGTGAGCATGTCGGATCTCAATAACTTGTACGTTTCATGGCATTTATTTTACAGCTCAGGAAAACTTACACAAACTTTCGAATTCTTTTAACAATTTCTTAGATTGGAAAACGAAACACGGATACACTATAGAATAGATACGAATTACAAGGATGCCTGTGCGGACTAAAACGCTACTATAAACAACCTATAACAAAAAACGGCAGAACAGAAGTTACTGAAACGTCATCACGAACTTAAGAAAACTGGAAATATTTCCAAAACAGCGAAAAATACGCACAGAGAGAAAAAAAAAAACATATGATTACTTTAAGCTGCGCAACAGCTGCCTCTCTACATTGTTGTCTAAAAATGGACGTCTGAAAAAAGTATGCGTCCCAAAGCTTTTTGAAATCCTTTCCAAATCAAGAATGCTGCTCCTCGGACAGCGAGAATTAACCTCCAGTTTTCCTGTACACACGACACAATCAGGGAAGTAAACTATATGCTAGAAGTGTGGAATTAAACAAATACAAAAAAAAACAAGATTAGTCAACAAGATTGTAAAAAATGAAACATCGAAATTCGTCAACAAAGCACATTTCCAGAAGTTTTTGCGTGAGCTTTAAGCCCAAACAACATGCAGTAAATTTCAATTTCAGCGACTATTTGGCAAAACTCACGGACGACCCGACAAAAGTATACGTTGGGCAACGAAGTGAAGATTTGAAACAAGATCTGCTCAAACTGATCCGTTGCAGAACGTAGCAAAGAAAGCATTTTTTTTTTATTTGTTCACTTTGTTAAATAAAAAAATTCTGTTTCATGTAATAAAGTATTGCTTTTTGACAAGCAGAAAAGAAAACACGGCACAGACGGGGCATAAATGAGACACTCCGTCACTCAAAAACTCACGCTTAAAAGCAAAATTCACTCCAGAGTTAGAGTGAACAATTATAAAATTTGATGCTACAGAAGCTCGTAAGACAAAAATAAACACCACTGGTGCTACATCGGTACGGGGCTAAGCAGCAAAACCTAACGACGCATATAATTGTCATGGGAGAGTCGCTTCCGACGCCACGGCCAAACCGCTTTTGAGAAGGCCCGGTTTTGCTTCGCTGATGCCATTGCCTCAACACATATTAGTTCCTTGATCGAAACTCGAAGTTTCACTGTACAAAATGCCAAAAGGACAATATTAAAACATGTAAAAGCATACAAACAAGAAATGAAGACGTAAGTAAAGAATCAGACTTGTCTCATTAAATCTTTGCTTAAAAAAACTTGCTTAAAAAATCAACTTTTGAGATGTCAGAATAATGATTCTCAATGATTCAGTCTGGAAATAATTTACAGGACAAAAACCAACCTTCCACCG